TTTCTCTCCACAGATGCTGCTGTTGAGTATTTCCAATATTTTCTGTCATCTGTATGGTCCTGTTAACTTGTGTTGCTACTTTTAATGATTTGCAAGTCTGTTCTCCAAGATCCAATTGCTCCTTGGCCCCATGTCAACTTTTATTTTCAAAGAAGATCATCATCTATACATTGACAACAAAACACACGCTCCTGTAACCATACTGCTGTAGACCTCTGGCTACACCAGAGTGTGCTCTTCTGTGCTCACCAGTGCATGTTTCACCAGTATAAAAACAACTTTTTTTTTTTGGGGGGGGGGGGGGAAAACAAGTACGCAAACATGAACACATGGAACTTATCCCCCAGCAGGAGAGCTGAGAACAAAGGAAAACGAGACCCCCAAAAGAGGCAAGCGAAAGAAATAAAAATACTGTGCTCACAGTTACACTTCCCATCAGAAATGGGAAGTACATTCAAACATTTCATGTTATGAACACATCTTGTACAGTTGTGAGACCAGATCTGATATGGTATTTAGTTTCAGGCAGGTCACCTTAGGAAGAACACACATGCTTTGCATGGAGCAGAACAACAAAACAGCAGCTGATATTTGGTATGAATGAGAATTTGAAAGAAGATACATACTCTGAAGATTGGGATCAAAAGGATGAACTCCCATAAATAACAAGTTCAATGTCCCAAATGATTAAATTACTGGAAACATAACATATGAGCAGGATTAGGCCGTCGTATTCTAATTTGATGATCATCCACTTCAATGCCTTTATCTCCCCACACTATCCACATATTCTTTTACAGATTTCTACACACAAATTACAATCTCTAAAAAGACTCAGTGATTGAGTCACCACAGGCCTCTAGGGCAGAGAATTCCAAAGGTTCAAGACCTTCTGAGTGAACAAACATTCTCATCTTGATCCAGAGCTGGTACCCTTTTATTATGAAAAATTGTCCCCCATGGTTTGAGACCCAACAGGGGAAATATCTTTCCTGCATTTACCTTATCTAGCAATTTGTCAGTTTCAAATGAGATCATTTCCCATTCTTCAAAATTCTAAAGAATACAGGCCCACTATCACATTCAACATGACAAACTTCTTTCATCTTTCAGCATTTCCAGCCAAGATTTGAAATAAAAGAACATTAGCTCGTAAGAAGCAACCAAAGTACAAGAAATGCAATAATACACAATTCCACACAGCACCTTCAGGGAAAAATGAAAGCACGGTGACTGAATTACTACTTCAATGTACTCCATGTTACATCACGCAGCTTCATTGGTCAACCTTTTATTGGTAAACAATATGGGCTTGTGAGCTTAAGAGGCTGATGAAAGAAACATTGATTAAAGACAGCTGACCTACTTAAAAATTCCAAGCACATCATTAATTTCAAAGTTAGACAGTTGCATTTACATAAGACTTTTTATTTTTTAATATTATAAATGTGCTTCACAACCAACTAATTACTTTTGAGCAAGCCTATTCACTGTTATTTAGGGCTATGCAATAAAATGAGTTATCTGTTTTGATGTTGAAGACACTGGAAGAATGTTCCTGCTCTTCCTCAAATAATACCATTAAATCTTTGATGTTCTCTCGCATAGGAAGGCAGGGTCTTGGGTTTAATACTTCATTCAAAAGACAGCACCTCCAACAATAAGAGATAACACAGTGTGGAGCTGTAAGAACACAGTAGGCCAGGCAGCATCAGAGGAGCAGGAAAGTTGATGCTTTGGGTCGGGACCCTTCTTCAGAAATGGGGGAGGGGGAAGGGAGCTCCAAAATAAATAGAGAGAGGAGGGGTGGGGCTGGGGAAGGTAGGTGGGATGGTGATAGGTGAATGCGGGTAGGCAGTGGTGGGAATTGGTCAATGAGGTGGGAGGGGCAGATAGGTGGGAGAGAAGATGGACAGGTTGTGTCAGGTCACGGAGGCGGAGATGAGAGGGAGGATTGGCCATGGGATGAGGCCGGGGGTGGGGAGATTTTGAAACTGGTAAAATCCACATTTAGGCCATTGGGCTGTAGGCTCCCAAGGCGGAATATGAGGTGCTGCTCCTCTAGTTTATAAAGCACTTCCTCCACACTGTGCTGAAATGTTCATCCAAAGTATACGCTCAACTGTCTAGGGGAAGATGGCATAGTGGACAAGTAATCCAGAGATGCAGGAGAATGCTCAAGGAACATGGATTCAAATCCCATTGAAACTGAGTTGTTCTAAAAATATGAAATTGAAAGCTAGTCTCAGTAATGCTGATCGTAAAACCTATCTGGTTCACTAACATCGTTCAGGGAAAGAAAAGAAATCTACCATCATTGTGCGGTCATATGTTAATCCAGATTCTCAGCAATGTGTTTAATTCTTAACTGCTTGCTGAAATGGGGACAGTGATAAAAACTCTGAAGGCAGAGGTTTCCAATGTCTACACAATTCCATATTGCTTAGTGTTGTATTTACTCTCCAACACTGATGAATATATCACCATGGTACTGCAAGTCCTGGATCCCTTCTGATAGCCTTACTTCACTCACCTTCCCAGTCACAAAGTATTTGCATGATGTTCTCTGCCATA